TATATTTTTTGTGTGTCTCATACTTATCCTGTATTCACAATTCAGTTATAGCCTTAAATGTATTTTTCCTGTCCTCCAATAGAATTGATACCAAAAATAGATAATATTCTTTCACAGAATATTCTGTGTATATATATATACACAGAGAGAATATTCTTTGGGTATAAACTTTTCTATTGCATTGATTTTTAAATTTACAAAAATATATTTATCTATACTTTGTTTTTCAGTTGTGTTTTGTTTGCGATAACACTTGACTTTACTTTTATTCTCTCTATTCTTATGTTATGTTTTATATGTGAATACAAATCCTCATATAATATAAACAAAATACGTGAAGCAATCAAATCAATGATATATTTATATATTAAGAAACAAAATGTAATTGAATTGTGACTAAAATATTTATGTATTATATATTTTCGTCGAAATTCAAAAGCATTTTCTTTGTGTGGGTTTTGAAAGAAATTTTTGGTGTATTAAAAATGCAGTGATTGTTATTACTTATTATATGAATGCCATTCAAGACCTCGAAAATGAGTTGAATGTTTAGGGGAAAGTGATGTTTTAATTTTATTTTTATGTGAAATGAAATGAGATATGAATTCTCTGTCATCCATTCTGTCTCCCTCTCACTCCCCGACACATAATTGACTTACAATTAGGCCAAATACTGAATTAATATAAGTGTTATCTTAAGGGTTTCAGTGAAGTTACGCTCATTTGTGCTCTCATTTTATATGTGAATATATTTAAATAGCATTACTTTCTATTAGGATTGAGTGAAAAGTCCATTTATCTCACGACTCGCTCTCTCTCTCCCTTTTTCCTAACTATATATCTCTCTCTCTCTCTCACTAATAGCTAATGATTCAAATGATATAAACCTACTAATAATGTTTTGTAACGACATTTTGTATTATATTTATAGTAAGTGTGCCCCGAATTGAGACATTTGCTAGTTTTGTAGTAATGAAGCACTCAATTAATTTCTGGAAACTTAAAAATCTTTGTTTACTAATTACTAGTACGTTAAATTATATCAAAACGTTATAAATTATGCTCATAAAATATTGGCTAATTATATAAATTATATGTATGTGATTTTTCGTATTTATTTGTTAAAAAATAAAATCTTAAAAGTTTAGTTTTAAATAATTTAATTTATGCTACATATTAATATTAGCGAATTTATTTTAAATTCACTATTTATTTAAATAAAAGTTTTATTAAAGTGTATAAATTATTTAAATGCAGATCAATATCTAGTCTATAATAAATCACAACCGGAACTAAGGATTGGCTATAAATAGCGAAATATATGCATATATTTTGTAATGTGAAAAAAATTTATGATATTTAGAACATATTGTATGATAGATATACAAATGACAGCAATATTTTTATATAAGAATCTCATTCTGTAACACAGAATCTGTATATCATAGGCATATGACACGACCAGAATCATAGGGTTTTTATAACCATCCTATATAAATATATTGTTTGCATTTTTATTACTTTTCGTCACGACATATGAAATAGTAGTGCAAATCAGTTACAGAAAGTCGTAAGAAATAATGCCATAGAAAATATATTCACAACTAGAAAAATATATACTCTTTGAATATATTTTGATTTTTTACAAAATCTTAAACTAAACGTTGAAATATGAGAATCAAAGGATAGCCAAGAAATGCCTTTATATTTATGGAGAGAGAAATACAATTTTTGTGAAAATATATTTTCAAAAATCGATTATAAAATATTGAATATATTTTTTTGAGCACAACAAAAAAATGTTACAAAAAATATATGCACAGAATATTTAAATTCAATGATTGAAAAATCATTTTTGTGGAAAAATTAATTTATTCTGTCGTCTATTCGGCACAAAAAAAATTATTATTTCTAAACAGATATATGTTTCACAAAAATATAGTACAGACGTAAGAATTAAACGAAAATCACGAGCGAAATGGATATATATGTATAGAAAAGTATATGAAAATAAAAACCAAAACTTATATATATTTTGAAAATAAAGAGAGAGAAAAAGATTTTCTCATTTTGCGTTTTTCTCGTTATATTGCATGCAATTTATCAAAACATTCATTACTTTTATTTCTATTTACAGAAAGTATAGACTATTCTTATGTTTTGTTTTTTGGTGCCCTTTTTGTGCCCTTTTTGGTGTTACAGATATCGGGCATTAATAGCGAAACCATTTTTTCGCTGTGAATATAACGAATACAATTCAATAATAAGCCCAACGATAACCAGAAGTGCTATATATTGCACAGAATATTCTGTTAGCGTTAAAGTCAAAAGCGATTTGTATTTGTCTTAAGAATCGATGTTTATATAAACATCGCTGGTAATTAAGTCTCACCAAATTTTTTATGTCTGTATTTATTTATAGTCGAGAGAATAGTGTATTGAATGAATGGATAATTGAGTGAATTGTGAATAACTATCGAGAGATCCATCAAAATTAAAATAATACAGACAACACGCGAGTTGTGCTATAATTCAAACGCAAAGACAAATAAATTTTTGTAGACATTTATAAAGGCATTGAAATTAAGAGTATTCTCTCCATTGGATACCGAAAACGACAGTAAAATATAAATAATTGTTAAAATAGGGAAACGAGAGACAAAATTAGATGAATTGAAAGCTCGAGTCGACAAACACTACGGATTGTTGTCTTTACTCGTTGTTCGTTGTGCTCTCTCTCTCTCTCTCTCTCTCTCTCTCTCTCTCTGAGGATTCAGATCAGATAAAACACATATTCAATGCATGTGTTTGTGAAGAATGTAAGCACTGAAACCATAGGAAACTGTGCACCACATCAATGATTGCGAGCAAAAATATGCCATAAATTGAGAGACTTTCTACCACTAGACTAAAACTAAACTTTTATATTAAATACAATATAAATATATTTGTATATTAAATAAAGGAGTATTCAGTAAAACAATATGAAAAGACGAGTGAATAAAGGAGAGATACTGACATTAGAAACAAATAAAAGAACTGGGTTATATTTATAAAGTGCACTTGCAAGTTAAAAACATGTTCGTTCCCATACGTGTATGCTAAATTAGCGTAAAGTAGCTATTCATATAACAATTCACTGGAAAACAGTATTTTCCATTAAACATAAGTTTTAGATTTTAGTAGATTTGGTATAAAAAAGTTTTTTATATATAATATTTTTAGTTTTTCCAATCGCTTAAAAACTTGATTGACGTTACAATTCCTGCACTCAAGATATACTGAAATATTGGACACAATTTCTATTACTTTTTGTTACATTATATTTCTTTTTCTCTCGCTTTTCTTTATTATCACTACTATTTTGGTGTGAAATAACTCTTTACTCAATGGCTGTGCGAAACTCAGCGCTCAAAACGCATTAAAGTTTATCAATTGGTCTCAAAATTGAAGCGAAAAAATTAAATACTTTATCATTTCGGTTGTGAACTCAATATTACGGAGAATGAGAGAGAGAGAGAGAGAGAGAGAGAGAGAGAACTTATATCAAAAATAATAAGAGAAATGCGAGTAAATTATTATTGTGTCTCGAAATATATAAAATGTAATATAATAACAGCGAGAATATTCTGTTTCCATTCCCTTTATCCCATCAAATGATAATTACAGTGTATTTTATGTCTCGCAAATTCAAATGTATTTATGGTTTTTGAAAACATAATTTTTCCAATTTGTTTATTTCAATGACTTTTTTCTGCAATGCTATCAATACCAGTGTTGTGTAGTCTTTATTCATGCAAACATTACTAATTCTTTATTCAACAATTGAAATGATGGCTAGACTTGTAATTTATTAGCGAAAGCGCATACATTATCCAGAATTGTATGCATAATACAGAATATTCTTTAACTATAATAAATGCGTTCATTGATTCTCTAAGTCTGTGAGCTTCTGGAGTTGAATACATGAGCGAAAAAAGTAGTCCAAACAAAATTTTAAACTCTATTATAATAGCACTGATTCAACACAAGGAATTATATGAACAATATCTGTGCTAACAGTCATCTCTCTCTCTCTCTCTCTCTCTCTCTCTCTCTCTCTCAGACTGATATACTGTATGTCTAACACAAATATATTGAGCTGAGGCTAAAAATATGATAAATCATGGCAACGAAGACAATGCAATATTTTTTCTTCACTCTCTCTGGCAGTGAAAAGCCTCTGAAAATAAACTCATATATTCTGTAAATATTTTACATATTTTTGAATCAAAATTCTTTGGTTTCCTCACGGCTTCTCGCAAAGCGTATGTGTTTTGTGTGTTGTTTAGAGAATTCTCTCACTAATCGCGAAATGTGTTACGAAATGCTGAGCGAAAAGCCATATATTTATATGGATATAAAAATTTTAATTTCAATATTTTTTGCTTAATATATCTCAAAATATTAATGCACTCAAAATAAAATCTAATTTGTGTATGCTGCAAATTATGTGTTGTAGCTTAAAATGTTTGCCTAACTTTTCTCGCGATAATATTCCGGAATAAACACATATTTACGAACAGAATAACCAGCAGTTATATTATATACATAGAAAGCAATTTATAAAAAACATGGGATGACTGACCGCCATAAGCCTCGCACACTAGTGTCAAACTGTCGCCCTCATCATACGGCCCAATCACATCCCGGAGTCGATTTCCGTCTAAGTCTTTGATGATTACTTGTTTCGGAGGAACTGTGTATATATATAATGACAACACAGTCGATGATAGAGGGGAAGGGAATGGATAGGAAGGGACACAAAGAGAAAGACAGACAATAAGTTATATGTATTTTGTGACAGCAATTAATGGTGACTGAAAGGGCACACAGAAAGCCATTACCGGTGACGTTGAGGTGGACGAGGAAGTGCTGTGTCCTGTGTTTACGGTAATCGACTCGACATCGATAGTCGCCCTCGTCTTCCTCGAGCACCGGCTCCAGTTTGAGGGTCGGCGGCAGTACTGACACATCCATGACAGCCCGTTCCCCCAACTCTTCCGACGGCACTTGTTTTGAGTTTGACAGCCGCGAGGAACGGGCGTCTACTCGGTATATGGGGATACCAGTGCTCCCTCTGTACCAGATCACCAGCGAGATGTCCTCCTCGATCCATAGGCTCGTATTGCACGGCAGAGACACCTGTCCGCCCACTACTGCCCGGTATTCGCTAATACCTAAAAATGCAAACAATAAGATGTCATTAATTTTATGGCAAATAATTGGTGTTTGACTTAAAAGTACGGAAAACCTCGCGAATTAAAAGTCATTAATTTTGTAATCGCGCGAAACAATCGACAAAATTTTTCTTAACTTTTTCCTCAGCCCTCCCTTTCCTCTCAACGCAAACAACAGACGAAACGAAAAAAGTATAACAAAAACTTATTCTCAAAGCTATTATAAAACCAATAAAAGTAAGTCTTTTGACTATAAGTATAATAGAAGAGGAGTATAGAAAGCGAGACAGAAATTCATGTGATTAGACTCGTTATAGTAAACTATAAGCACAACAACAACACTGAACACCGAGAAATCTATAGTAAAAAAGTATATAAAGTATACGAAAGCCGTAGAAAAGAGATGGTAAGCAATGTATCGAAAAGTCGTTTCGCACACAAAATCTATTGATTTCAATGGAGTGAAGGGATATAAGGAGAGAGAGGTTTTTAGCTGAAAATATATGAAACGTTTAAAAAGTGAGAGTAAAGACATTTGAGTTCACAACTGGTCTCTCTCTCTCTCTCTCTCTCTCTCTCTCTCTCGATATTGACTGAGAAGTGAACGATTGAAAAAGGAGAAGAGGAAAGGGAGGAAAACTTTTTTATTTTTATTTCCCAGAATTATATGATAGAGTGGTTATAAATCGGACGACACATGTGTTTCGGTTTGGTTTCCAACAGAATAAACATGAAGTCAATGTTAATCGGAATTATCCTCTCTTCTACTCACTCTCTCTCTCTCTCACACACACACACACACACACACATTCAAAGTGTGAATGCATTTATTGTTATTACTATTTGAAATGACATAATAGAATATAATTGAAATTAAAAACAATAAAGAATACTATATTTTGATATTTACATAAATAGATAATTATATTAATAACCAAATGACTGCTCTCTCCCTGTGTTTGGAATTTTCATTATAAAAATATCTCCCAAAATGTAAACCAAAATAGGAATAATTAAATGAAAATCCCATTTATTAAACGTTGGGATAGTTTTTCATAGTTTTGTTTTTATTAATCATAGTCTATGTCGGGTATATTGTGCATAATGTGTGCATGTATAAAATCATAATTATATTTTCATTTTATTTACAAAATTAGTTTAGTTTTTCTGTTTTTACTCTCTCTCTGTTTATACAGAATTTGATATATACAAAAATATGTATACAAAAATGTGATATTAAAATAAAGTCACAAAATTGGTTTGCATATAATCCGTACGAATAATGCATTGTTTATCTAAAACACTGGAATATTCGGCACAAGCATTGAGTGCATTCACACACAGAATATTCTGGTGTCGCCCAAAAACAACTGATGGCACAGAAAATATCGATTTTTAAATATAAGGACACAAAACGACTGTCACTGAAGAGCACAACACAAAGATTTAAAACATAGCAAAGAGTTGTGTGTTATGTGTGTGTACTGTATATACAGTGTAATATCGACTCCGAGCGGCTCTACTGGCAAAGTACTGGCGCTCTCCGCGACTCTTATTATATCCTGTGCTCAGGAATATTGAGCGACAGGTCATCACTGGTCGTAGTCTTGGCTGACGATCAGCGCTAACTCTACTCCACTGGCAGTTTAGCCCTAAAAAAGTGCGTTTCCTCCTAATGTTATCGCTTATGGCCTCATATAGTAATATACACATGAAGTTTCAGATATAGCGCACCGTTATATAAGTTGTGACCAATTTTTTGTGTGTCTCTCCACTGTTGCCAACTGCAGAGGTCTTTATTCTATTATATTATGTGCGGCCACTAAGCAATAACATTAAGCACTGGCATGAGAGCTGATGGCACCACCACTTTGCCCAACACTCGCCAATATATAACACAAACTCTGTGTGTTTCGCTACTACTCGGCTCCTTAATTAGTTGAACGCATCTCTCTCTCTCTCTCTTTCTCTCTCTCCTTCTCTCTCTCTCTCTCTCGTCAGAGCAAAAACTTTTAGCGATATCTTAGCAAATCTTCTCTCGTCTATTGTATACACCGTTTTGCGACACAACTCGTCATTTATATTCGGGTCCTTCAACTCTATGCTCTCTCTAATTCTCTCTCACATACACAGCCTCCCAAACCCATCCATTCTCTCTCGATCTCTCTCTCATAAGAGAGTTTGCGTTCGTTTGTATCGACACTCATCAGGGATTTAATATCAAGCAATTGAGTGCAATATTGCAAACCCGTGTGCACTCACACACCACTATCTCTACAAACTACTGAAAACTTTTGTCTGTTTTCGGCCATAGATTATACACAGAGAGAGACAAACACATCAACTTTTATATGTGTTTTTGTGTTTACCGTATAGTATGTGATACACCGAGCACTGGTAGCTCGCACGCACACACAGCACCGGTATACCGTATATTAGGTACATAGCGTCACATAATCTGATTTAAATAATTAATTGCAAACTATAGCGAACCGCTCGGCGCGCAAAGTCAAAGTGTTTTTCACAATTAAATACATTATACGAGTTTGAGAGACGAAAATTTGTTTCAAACAACATTTTAGCGATAATTATAGTTGAAATTTGAGGAGCAAAAATAAATATATTTATTGCGCTTTTATATTATAGTTAGCCTTTCCTCTCGACATATACCCATTTCCACTGCCATTCACTGTCGCATTCAATTTAATTCATTTTTATTCATTAAAACTTATATCACATGAGAGATGTCTTTCAAATACACAACACACGGAAAAAACAGTATAACAGAAAAACAGATATATTAGCGAGAAGTTTGAGCTAAAAAGGGAATTAAATCGCAAATAAATAGCAAAATAAATGTTAAGAAAAAAATATCCAAAAATAAAAGCGACTGAAAGCTAACAAATCAATAGGAAATACATCTGATGCGAGAATTTAATGCTCCCTTTCCCTGTGTATTATATAAAAATAGATTGAGTTTCAAAAGTCGCCATCAATATAGTTGTAATGGGAAATATATATTTTATTAATGCAATTATGTATTAATATGTTCGAGTATTAATTAAAGTCTAATTAAACCAGGGGAAATTAAAAATTGGTTTTTTCTATCTAATGTAAATAATTATGTTTTGATTTTTGCGACAGTATACCGATTTTAAAGCCAAATATATACATAACTTTTTTGTACGGATGTCAACACATATTATATAACACTCATGAATATTCCGTTGATAATTACCAGAATCAGGAATTTTGTTATAAATTAATGCATTAACGGAATTGCTAATTTTTGCGACTATTTATTAGAATATTTGCGACAAAAAAAATATTGTATATTAAATGAAATCATCACCAAATTATTTATTAATGTATACACAGAGTGTGTATTTGTAAGAGTGAGAAGGGATATACAGAAACTAAATTAGAAAATACAGCTTTTTTCTCAATGTTTGGAAATCCTTTAACACGACTGGCAATCGAAATGTGAGCTTAACTGTGAAAACAGTACAACACATATAAGACATACACACAAATGGCACACAATAGAGTGGATACAAAATGAAAAACTTTTTTTCGGCGAAACTTTTATTATGAGCACAAAAACTCAATAATTTTTTGTTCGTTCAGTTGTTTTGTTTATATTTTCATTGTTTAGATGAAGACGAAAGAGTTGTGTCGGAGAGTGAGAGACAAAAGAGCGCCGAGAGAGTAGAGGAAAGGCTGCTAAAAAGTGAGTCAATAATCAATTAGGACGGAGGACATGAGAGAGAGAGAGAGAGAGAGAGACAGAGAGAGAGAGAGAGAATGCTGATGATGTTAATGGCACAGTCATGTTATGTCAGGTTTGAGCGCACATATAGACAATTGTGTGGACACACACACACCGACCAAAAAAAGCTGCCCAATTGTGTTAAGCTTTTATATATTTTGATTTCTACTTTGATTGTCTACTTATTCTCTCAGTGTGTTTGTACACCGCATACAATATATCGCCGACACACCAGTTGTTGCCACACATACCCGAAACACATCCTTCTCTCTCTGTGCTCTATGTTCATCCCTGTCCTCCCTGTGCTCTCTTTCACTCTGGTTGTAGTAAATAGTAGCGCATTATATACTAAGTTACTCATCAATTAGGATCCAATAGAAAGGGATCGCTTCAAACTTATCCCTCAAAGTATTTCTAGGGTTTTGATCCTTTAATTATTTATGGCAACAGTTCGGCAGCCATACATCTCTCTCCTACCAGTCCCTGGCATTTGTTGGTCAGGCATTTCTGGTGGTGGTGTATATGTGTGCAATCCATTCAATGAGATGTTCTGGTTGTTTGTCGACTCTCTTGTTATATATGAACCTAAAAAACAATCCCAAACCCAACAGGAGATGTAGGTTTTTGTGCTTAACTTTCGCTCCGTATGTCTGACTCTAACAGCACAGACACTGAACGCACGTTAATATTTATATACATATTATATAATAATGATTATAAATTACACCAAAAGGCTTTATAAACATGATNACATGATAATAATGTTAACCTATTCTCTAAGTAACTTTACTTTGCTATTAGCGGTATAAATAGAAAATTATTTATATATTTTAGAATTTAGAGAATTTAAAAAACTCAAAGACTTTTTCTAAATACAGTAAATATGATTTAAAACAGGAATTAACATGTAATCGTATATGAGATTTGAACAATCATAGTAACGTTAGCTATTTTATATTTATTATATATAATTATTAATTTTATACAAAAGTCAATTATTCATAAAAAATTCATAGGTTTAAGGTAAACGAGTAGTATTATAACTTATCAGGTTAAAATATTTCTGGATATTAAAGTATTCATAAAAATAGCTAACGTTACTATGATTGTTCAAATCTCATATACGATTACATGTTAATTCCTGTTTTAAATCATATTTACTGTATTTAGAAAAAGTCTTTGAGTTTTTTAAATTCTCTAAATTCTAAAATATATAAATAATTTTCTATTTATACCGCTAATAGCAAAGTAAAGTTACTTAGAGAATAGGTTAACATTATTATCATGTTTATAAAGCCTTTTGGTGTAATTTATAATCATTATT